GAGGTTCCAGGTTTTGACAGGGTGTGTGATTTATATGCTACTGACCCATAATTTTCCCATGTTGTCCAGAAGTTCCAGGAGGGTGTGCAGTCGGAGTTTACATGGGTTGATGGTTTTCTTTTTCATGGAAATCAGTTGTGTGTTCCAGAGGGCAGTTTGAGGTTGAAGATCATTCAAGAGTTGCATAATGAGGGCCATGTGGGTCGTGACCGAACATTGCAGCTTGTTGCTGCTTCTTACTTTTGGCCATCATTGCGCAAGGATGTCAGCAAGTTTGTGGAGCGTTTTCGGGTTTGTCACTTGGCCAAGGGCAAGGCGACCAATGCGGGCTTGTATATGCCTCTACCTATCCCAACCCAGCATTGGACAGATGTGAGTATGGATTTCGTTGTGGGACTTCCCAGGACCCAGCGTGGTTTTGATTCAATCTTCGTAGTAGTTGATCGGTTTTCAAAAATGGTACATTTCATCCCCTGCAAGAAGACTACAGATGCTGTCAATGTAGCCTTATTGTACTTTCGTGAAGTTTATCGCCTTCATGGACTGCCTACATCTATTGTGTCCGATCGGGATACTCGTTTCCTCAGCCACTTTTGGCACAGCCTATGGCGCTCTGTGAATACACGGCTGGACTTCAGCAGTGCATATCATCCTCAAACAGATGGTCAAACAGAGGTTGTTAACCATTCCTTAGGTGATTTACTACGTTGTTTGGTTGGTGATCACATTAAGTCTTGGGATCAGAAGTTGTGTCAAGCAGAATTTGCTCACAATCATGCTGTTAACCGAAGTACAGGTTTTAGTCCGTTCCAGGTGGTGTATGGCCTTGTTCCTCGTGGTCCTCTTGATCTAGTTCCAGTTTCTACTTCTGTTAAAATGCATGGTAAGGCCGAAGACGTTATTCAACAACTGCACCAGGTTCACTCACAGACTCATGGTCAGCTGCAGGCTGCTGTCGCTGAATATAAGCGTGCTGCGGATCTCAAGCGCAGACATGTTGAGTTTGAGGTAGGTGACTTTGTTTGGGCGGTGTTAACAAAGGACCGTGTTCCTGCTCATGAATACAACAAGCTTTCCACGAAAAAGATTGGTCCGTTGGAGGTCATTGAGAAGATCAATCCAAATGCTTACCATTTAAAGCTGCCCAGCCATATTCGTACCTCCGACGTGTTCAATATCAAGCATTTGGTGCCATTTCATGGTGATAATTCTGGTGATGATGAAGAAGCTCCTTTCCCGTCAAATTCGAGGGCGAATTTTTCCCACCTTGGGGAGAATGATGAAGTGCACAAGGGATTAGAGTTCATGACAAAATGGGACCATCACAAGGCAAAAGTTGGCAAAAGGGGCAAATGATTTCATGATGACTTTGAGTTTGCTCGTTTTTGGCAAATCACTAGTCTAATTTGATTGGAGCCGAGCCAAGGAATGAAATTCAGCGCCTTCGGCCCTGACGCAAGACCAATTTCGGGCAAAATCCATCGTTTAGGCCCTCGTTTAATCGTTTTTGCTATTTATGGTAATTTTCATTTTTGCAATATCTCTTTCCATGAAATTCGAATTTAGATTTCGTTTGTTGGAGGATGATCCCGAAGATAAGTATTTTCCATTTTAGTAATTATCTCATATTTTCCATTTTTGGAAAAAAATATCTTTTTATTTTATTTTATTTTATTTTCCTGATTTTCCTAGGTTTTTTCTATTTAATCAATTGAATTCAATAAAATCTTCCTTGAGAGTTTTCTCAATTTGTGATTGTTCATCTTCCCTATAATATTTCCGCTACGTCACTGGGTCTAGAATCTTCATCCAAGGATAATGAGTTATCCTTAATAGATATGACGTTATAGGGTGATTTTTGTTGAAGTGGCTTAAATGCACAAAAGAAAAAAAAAAAAAAAAAAAAAGGAAAAGTTCGATGCAAATAAGGGTATTCTTATTCAAGATTAATGGCTTTGAATTCTTGCATCTATATATTCTTTGGCAAAGCAAAAAGGAGTGAGAATTAATGATTAAGACTCGCTGACTAAAGCATCTTTACTTTCTTTATTTTCCTTTTGCTTGAAACCATTAATATTTTGCAGCAAATATTTATGGACATAAATTTCACTTCCAAATTTTGCCTCGTGATCATAATTCATTGATTCTCTCTCTCTCTCTCTCTCTCTCTCTCTCTCCATATATATAAAAATATAATTAAATACTTTATTATTATTATTATTATTATTATTATTATTATTATTATTATTTTGAAAGAAGGGGAGGATCCCATGAGTAGCAAAATTTTATCTTTGAGGCCTCGTTTGATTTTCTTTTTTGTCAAAATATATTTTCTCTATTTTCTTTTTTAATCACACATTCTTCATTAAAATAATATTACACGTAAATAAAAAAAATTCCTTATTTTTTATCCACACATTTTCCTTCAGTCTACTATTCTAAAATTCATTTTTCTATAAAAATGAATTTCAAACACCCTCTCAATATATTATTTTGATACACTTCACCCACAAAAATGAAATTACCCAAAAATCGCAAATTTTCTTCAAACCTCTGCCCAAAGTGCTCTGACTTCAAAAGAATATTAGGACTTAGTAATCAGTTTTGCTAAGTAATTATGTAGCAAGTAATTATTTCCCGACAAAAATTTACCATTAATCTGTCAATGTCAAACACGTCGTTAATGAATTTATAAACTTTTTACGATAAATAGAACATTTTTTGTTATATATTTTTAATTTGAAAATATAAAAAAAAATTGTAAGTTTGTAGAGTTACTGCATAATATTCCAGCTGTCTAATATCAAATAATTATCCTTGCTACATAACATTAATTTGTGTAGCATGGACTTGTCTAAGACATGTTGGTCCACAAATCAATTAAAAATAGGATAAAACCCCCTGTCCCGACTTGGGGACAAGGTTGATAGGGGCGCCCCACCAAGGACAGGGAGCAAGTCTCTAAAAAATAAGAGCCAAGCTTCATGTACAGAAGTTTTTTGTACGAAACCATTACAGAATACATATATGGTAGGGTGGGTGGGTTATTTTTTACAATATTTTAATTCACCACCTTGTGACACATCTGTAAAGCTTCTATAAATTATTTTCTGTACAACCAGCTTTTTTGTAAAAATAAAGAAGTGGGCCAGATATTCTATTCAAAAAAATTATTATAATCATTTCAAATCCAAAATTTGAAAAAAAAAAAAAAAAGGTTCAAATATCAAAGAGATCTGCACATGTTTGGACAAATTACTATTTCTTACTTACAAGTTAAAAACTTCTTTAAGTAAAAATTAAAGAAAAAATTTATCGGAAATCGACTTAATTTTAAAAAAAGTCAAAATCAATTGCTCTGCAATGTATTAGAAATCAATATACCCATTACAACCAGCTTAACTTCGATTTAATAGTAAATTAACTTAATTGCACAATGATTATGCCAAAAAATAATGACTTCATTTTTCCTTTTTTAACCCATTGATTTTTGCAATATACATTAGGTTCGATCCCGGTGGTATCAAAACATAAGGCTCATCAAGCCTAAAGTGACTCTGCCGGTTAAAACCCTGTATCGAAATAGCCCAAGTTGGACAAGTTGATCCGTCTTAATAAGTGGGTTGTCGTATCCATGGGGCATGGATAAGGTATATCGTGGCGAATTTTATAAATAAATTATATACTCCATCCGACTAGTGCCAGGTTCGAATCCCGGGCAATCCACTCTCATGTCGAAATTTTATGTATAGAAATTTGTATTTTCATTTTGCATTTTAGTCTTCTTATGCTGCAAGAAATGATTCATTGGGATAATAAATCACCGTTGATATAGGCGTATTTGAGATTGGGAAATGTTTGGGAGTTTCTGTATTGTCAGATTGGATTTTCTAGGTCGGAGACCCAGAATGATCGGCCCAGTCGACTTGATTTATGGAAAAATAAAGAAATTATATATAATTGATATACTTGTTGCGCTCGCTTTCAAATTCTACTTGAAAATTGTTAGTGTGTGTGTGTATATATATATATATTTTTTTTTTTTTTTTTTTTTAATATGACTAACAATTTGTTAAGACTTGAAGTTCCATTTTAAAAAGTCAACTTTATTAAGAGGAGTAGTCCAATATCTTATAAGTAGGTCTTTGTTTACATCTTTATTTGATGTGGGATATTTTATCTCTTAACATACTCCTGCAAGATGGTGACTCGTTTGAACAGACCAATTTTAAAATTTGTATGCTTATTTTTAGAGTCTTAATCTGATCGAATTACTCGTTGGAGTTTAATGGATTTTGATACGATGTTAAATCTTGAGGTTCAATCTTAAAAAGTCAACCTTGTTAAGTAGAGTAACCCAAGACCCTATAAATTTGTCTATATTTACATCTTTATTTGATGTGGGATATTTTATCCCTTAACACAATAAACTATATAATTCTAAAACAAATCAATGAGAACATTCAGTTTTTTTGCCTCCTAATTATGGTTTGATTTTAAATTATATTAACTTTCCCAAAAAAAAAAAAAATAAATAAATCAACGAGCTAGCTTCGAAAATTGGTGGTGCATAGGCTAGTTCAACACAGGGGCGGGACTAGGATTGTTAAATCCTGTGGCAAAAGATGGGTTTACTGCAGTGTAGCAACAACCAATGGCTATACAAAGGTCGTATTTTAGTCTGTAAAGAGGAGGTTTTGAAATCCAGTGCAGGGCAGTTGACCTGAACTAAATCAGCCCCTGGTTCAATCAACTTCATCAGGACCCTCTCATTTTAGTCGTATTTATTTTCATGTTTTGCTTATGTCACACTCGAAAGTTCAAAGTTTACATTCATAATGTTAAATAGCATTGTTCCATGGTTTTGATTCTTTATATTAGTCTAAAATTCTGTAAGAACTTTTATGGTGTGCATGAATTCTATCTTGCAATGAAAGTATACGTTCTGCATCAGGCGTCGACCTTAACAAAGAACCCACAGTCGACCTTAAAAAGAAGTGAGATTTTATTTCATCATTCGTTATCCAAAACTTCCTTGAACAATCAAAAACGTCTTATGAAATTCTATCAGAACGTGACTTTGGGAGGGTATTTGATTGCATTTTTAACAATCTTTTTTGCAGCAGCATCACCAAGATCAATGCCACAAATATCAGCCAACCTGATGAGATAAAGAAGCACATCAGATAATTCTTCACCAAGATGCTCTTTATCTGATTCTTCCCAGTTCGGCAACCCTTTGTCAACCTCTCCCTTCCACTGAAATATCTCCGATAGCTCTCCTACTTCACCAACCTGTATTCATATATGCCATAAGATATAGTGATTAGGAAAACTCGTCCCAATGGTGGAGCAACTTAAAGGAATTTTATTGTACAAATATGTTCTTAATACTGATATCTGGCTCAATCTCCCACCTTTTTGTTTATTTATTATTATAAGAGAGATTCGGCATAGACCTGATAGACAAATTAAATAGAAAACTACGTATAAGGCATGCAACCATGCAAAGATAAATAAGCACTTGTGGAGGGTGCCAAATTATTTCTACTTAAAATCAAATAAAAGCAAATAAAAGAAGTTTTGTGGAAGCCTTAATCTAATATGCTTCCTTTGTGCATGAATGTCTCCATAGATTGAGTTATCAATTTGAAATCGACTTCTAAGGTGGGAAGTCCAAGTAGTTAATACTCACAGAGCAATGTTGGATGTGATTAGATATATTAAAATCTACCATTCCTTTCAGAACTAGGTTTTAGATCGACCCATATTCTCTGTTAGGTTCTATGCCACCGTCTTCAACTATGTGATAACGACGTCATCTCTTATAACAGTTATTACAACTACGTGCATTTGGTAGGATTCATCCTTAAAACTAGCTTCGTAAACCACCAGTGCCAAGTAGTTATAAACTACCAACCGAGCTTTTATAAAGAAACGTAAGACATAATTAGAGTCGTTTGTTACACATTTAGCACAATAAACAGGCACTGAGAAATGAAATAATAAAAACATTACCATAGCGAGGAGTAAATTTCTAGGGCTATGGAACTTTTCCCAGTCTCTAGCCTTTGCAAATTCTTCAAGTTTCTTTGACAGATCTTTCAAACTGATTTCCATTGCTTCTCCTTGCAAAATTTCTTCCATTGCTTCTCCTTGCAAAATTTCTTCTCCCATGGCTTTCGATACCCCTTGTTTTCACAGCCTTTACGCCGATGCAAGAGGAATTTAAAAGGCCAAGAAAGTTAAAAGGAAATTCTTGAGGAATATTGCTATTAAAATTGCAACCATCAACGAGGATCTTGAAAGTGGGCAAAATTCCTTTAGCTGTACATAATTTGAAGTGATCTTAATAAAATAGATGAGGGTGCTACACAGGTACCGGCCTACATAGTACATATAGATGCAATAAAACAGATTCTCTACCACCCCACCTTTGCAATATAGCCAGCTTATCTTACTAATAATATAATTAAATTATGAGAATATTCTTTTCCCTTTCATGAGCCATCCATTAAAGCAATAGGAATTTTTGCTGAACTTTTACTTTAGTTTGACATCTGTTAATATTATAATAATCAATATTACAATAATATGAAAGTAAACTTGAAATAACTTATAAACGATTTATTTGGCACTTTGAACTTGAAATAAGTCATAAACGATTTATTTGGCACTTTGCATATTAACTCATGAAGTGTGGTGAATAACGTGTTATGTATCTTTCTATTGAATACATTCGCATGAATAAACTGTTGAAAAAAATGAGTAAATGAATCAATTTTGGCACAATTTTCAGCGGGATCCGTTGGTCCAATTTGGAAGATCAAAATTGATTTGTGTTCTCCTCCACGAGTACAGTGAAATCACGTATTTTACTTGTCAAAAATAAAGTTCGGGTGAATGAGAAATTGGAGCTCAAAGTTGACCATTGGAAGATGGCTTATGTGAGAAAAATGAGTTTATCCCACATAGGAAAATCATGAAAGCAAGAACCACTTTATATATGGCTACACATTAAAATGGTATAATCATATGTAGCATAGATGCTTTCTCCATGTGCGCACATAAGGGTGCAAATCACAGACCAAAATAGCCTTCGGAACTTGAACTTGTATGCGGACGCAACCTGCATGCACGAATGTGGAACTGAACAGAGCAAAAATTAGCCCATTTAGAGTGTCCACATTTTGCAATTTTTTTGTTTTCTCCAACTGACTTTTGAGTTTTTGAAACTGTTACACACACGAAAATATAGGGGAAAAATTGTGTCTGCATATTATCATTCTCTGGAAAGTTGGTCTGTCTGCTTACTAATCTCAATTTTTGTCAGCGTCGTCTTGATGACGATATTATTCGGATACTAATCAGTTTGTCAGAGTAGTATCTGTAGTGCTCAGGTCTTACTAATTTTACTGTTGTATCCTGAAAAACAGACGCTCGAATTAAATCTTAAACACTTACGGAGGGGGGCGAATCTGTTTTAAGGAAACTGTGTTCGCACAGGCCTCGGGTAAAATATTCATTTTTTATTTATTTATTTCCTTAATTTTTATCTTACTTGTTCGACTTGCTGATTCATAGGCATTTATATTCTTTTTGTGCTTCATATATCTTAAATTTTATTTTCTACTTATGTTAAAAATAAAAATTTGAAAAAAATTTACTGGCATTCGGTTTGGTAAGTACATTTATGGTGTTTCTGCAATTTAGGTATTTGTAAGTGCAAAAATCGGTATATGAAAATACGGTATCTAACCTCACTGCATATACGGTATATACAAGATCGTATATGCAAATAAGGTAAGTTGTTGCATATACGGTGTGCTGGTGCAAATATGATAAGCTGTTGCAAATACGATAAGCTGTTGCAAATACGATATGTTGTTGTAAATACGGTAATCTGCATATACGGTAATTTGTATATACGGTGTGCGTAAATACAGTATGTTGCATATACAGTATACATAAATACAACATATAAATTGTATATACGGTAGGAATGAATCCGGTTTCATCCACTACACTAATTTAAATTCCAACATAAACTCAAAGGAATTGATAGGAACCCATACAAAAGTTGAAGCATGCGAATGACTTAGATGCAAAGTGAAGAAAAAAGCACGAATAAACTTCAATTTGCAAGTTGTTTTTGTTGAAGATAGAAAACGAGGGTCACTTAAATATTAAAACGTGCAATAATCAACTTATAAGGGTTTCTGTTTAAGACGAAACCAAGAAGAAATATGGTTGAAAGTCTAAAAAATTCAAAGAATCATTTTAGATATTCATCTACAGCTCAAAGTAGTAGTAATAAAGGTTCACGGTCTAAGACTGTGTAATATAAAATATTATCACGTTTAGGAATATATATATCTCTAACCTGATCTAAGTTTATCAATTGAATTCAGACATTCTTCAGCACTAGTTTCCAAAAGATAATGTAAAAAAATTTTGACATTTAGTCAACTATGCCACAATAATAATTATTTTAAGCTTGTAAATCTAAAATGCAGATATGATTAGCTTAAATAAAACCCAGAATCTGTCATTGGTTTTGAAAAACAAAAACAAAAATGTATAAACTTGAATCGATTTTCACTACAAGAAAATTGACATTTTAAGATGACTTTCTTAAGAAGGTCGACCGGCTATCGTAATTGGTACAAATGAAATGATAAGATAACAATTACAAAGTTCAGATTACAAGAAGTTAAGCTTTATCTCTGGATTCTATTTTATCTTTCGATTGTGATCGCGATCCTTGTAATTGCCTGGGTCTAGAATCTTCATCCAAGGATAATGAGTTATCCTTAATAGATATGACGTTATAGGGTGATTTTTGTTGAAGTGGCTTAAATGTTCAAAAGAAAAAAAGGACAATGCTTAAAGTGCAGTTCCATGCAAATAAGGGTATTCTTATTCAAGATTAATGGCTTTGAATTCTTGCATCTATATATTCTTTGGCAAAGCAAAAAGGAGTGAGAATTAATGATTAAGACTCGCTGACTAAAGCATCTTTACTTTCTTTATTTTCCTTTTGCTTGAAGCCATCAATATTTTGCAGCAAATATTTATGGACACAAATTTCACTTCCAAATTTTGCATCGTGATCATAATTCATTCATTATCTCTATGGAAAAAAAAAAAAAAAAGGACTGTTGTTTGGTTCCACTTGACGCATCAAAAATGAGTTTTTGGCCGGGGCGGCCTAGGGCCTCAAATCACATGGGGCCTCAAAAATGAAAAACAATTCACTCTAGAAGTCCAATTAAATTTAAAAGACAGATACAAAAAGTATTTTAACTCCAATGTTTTTTGTTAATTCTAACTTAGTACGATCTTATTCAAATCAACATTTCTTAAGTTCAATATACATGATTAATGTTGAGCTACCAAACGAGCCTAATATTGTTAGGGGTAATCTAATTTAATTTAAAAACTAATATCACACATCATGTAGTTATTTTAATAATTAATCTATCATACTGGGATTGAGAACAGGGTTTGAATCCAGGTGTGAAGCGTTAGCACATGTATGGTTTGATTTTTTGTGGTTTTTAAACTGTTCAATCACTGCTTGACACGTGTCATCTGATTTTAAAACCTGTCACCAATCCCTATTGGTGTAGCATCACTGTTATTTTAATGAGTTATAACTTGAATTTGCTTTATCCATTTTTACTTTTTCTCGAGTCCATAATGTATCATTTATTACGAATTTCGGAATAATTATAGGATAATTTAGATGCTCCAATAAATACACATTTGGTACAAATACATTATTAACCTTGAAACTTATTTTTATTTTAATCCCTAAAAATCTCGAATTTATTGAAAGGTCCTTGAATCAAAATCATAAGAATCTAGTTACGCTTTTAATCACTAAATAATCTAGAGTTGTCGGAATTATTTATTTATTTATAATTATTATTTTATTTTTTTTGCACTTCTATCTTTTGGATTGTACCAAGTCTTCATTAAAATATAAATATATTATTTCTTTAAACATTTAAGTATAAAGGCATCATAATGATGAGTCGTCTAAGGCCTCAAAAATCTTGGGGTCAGCCTAATTTTTGGGATAAACAATTTTATTTTTGTAAAAATTTGTCTTGACAAGACCCTTACTTGCATATATAATTTATTTTTTGGCATGAAAACACTTTTTATAAAATGAACGATTGAGAGATATGAATCCAAAATATATATAGATGTTAGAGAAGGCTAGGACTAAGAAGTATGCATTTAGCTAACCTATCAATTAATCAATATCAATATTCTTAACAAAAGTATTACTGGTTTATTTTCCGAACCTTCATGGTGAAAGAAGATTATATCATAGACATCTTCTGGGCATGTCTAAATATGCTAAATAATGGTACTTAGTAAATCATGTGTAACATTATAGCATGTGAATCCTGCATGCAGTATGAATTATTGAAAAGAGAAGTTATTTTGATGTTGTTATTGTATATCTTATATTCAGACTGTAGGGTGTCTCCTCTTTCCGGAACGCTTTAGGGAGCGAGGGCAAGAGAGTAGGAACCATAGGAGAAAAATCGATCAATAGGAGTGTGGCTTTTCTGAGATTTTGAGAAGGAGATAATGGCCCTGAGACTAAGGAGCTTCAGACAATTGATTGGATGCCAGCATTCACTTGCTTATCATAGAGGCTGTCAGTCTGAGAATGGGCTGTGACGTGGACTGACCAAATCTATCTCATCTTATTTAAAGATTAGAAAATGCCATTCATCAAAGAAATTCGAAAATATTTATTACAAATTAAATATTCTTAAATAGTCACACTTCACTTTTATTTGTTACATCACATTTTAATTGTATTTGAAGTGTTTAATATTTGCTCGTCATGACACTAATGTCTCCAACTCGCATTCTTATCGATCCTTTACTAATTATAACATATTTTCTGATAACCATTTCAGGCCAAAAACTATGTTGCATAAAACTATTTACTAGCCTATAATATTTTTGACGAAACAATAAATACAGAAGTGTGAGAATATTTTTTCTCCTTTCAAAAAGCACAAATCAAATAATTTAACAAAAATCATTATCAAGAAGATGAACTAATTAATGGAATGCTAAAAATAAAAATTCAACATGCAAAGAAGTTGAGAACATATATTTTAAAATGAACAAAAATTTGAGAACTTAATTCAATTAAATATGGTGAAGCAAATAAATAATTGATTATACTCCAAACTCCAAAACAACACCCCCCCGCCCCCCAATTAACTTGGTCTGTCCCCATTTACATTCTATTTCCCAATTTCATCAAGCCCCTTTGGTGTAAATTTTAATCATATTAAAATCTCACGTCAAAATCAACTGTTAAATGTAACCACACATTTCATAAGCCCAACAACTTTTCAATAATACATTTTATCGACTTTTATCAAAACCTACAAAAAAATCTAATTTTAATCTATACCAGACAAAGAGATAAGTGCAAAAGTTTCAACTACAAATGAACCAGTACACATCTTCCGTGTTAAAGGTTTTCCACCTTTTGCACATTAATAAGCAGAAAAAAAAAAGGAACATATTGAACATAATTATATTTCACAGACATGACCGTATGTTCCCAAATTAATATTCTTGATACAACAAGAATTGACGAGGAAGAAAAAAAATCTATAAAATTGGAATAGGGTAACTGAAAACTTGAAATTTTGGCATTACATCACTTCCTTTTTCCTGTGCCAATTGTTAGCAACTCAAAGCTTCGGAGAGCATCATCACGGGCACTTCTTGGAGCTGGAGCACGAGTGAAAGAAGATGTTTTGGACTCAATTCCAGGTTGTAATCTTTGGGTGGTGGATAGACGTCCACTGCCGGAGCCCAGTCGTCTATGACGATTTTCACTGGGTTCCCCTGAGGAGCTAGGCCTGCTGCTCAACAATACTGGCCTCCTTGAACTACTGCCAGGTCGAGACACTCGTCCTCGTTCAGACTCAAAGAGCTAGAAAATCAATAATCAATTGTGAAATTAAGATTCAAAGACAAACAAGTAACGGGTTAAGTGCACTAATGGTCACTTAACATTGAATGAGATTTTGTGTTTCGTTTCAAATTGATCACGGAACATAAAATTTGTTACACTTTAGTCATTTCTTCCATTTCTATTTGGTTGACTACACAAAAGAGTGACACGGCGGTCTATTTATTGGTCAACTAAGCTGCCAACCAGACTATCACATAAGCATTTCCATTAGTAAAACAATAAGATATGAACTGATGAGTAATGCTATACATCATTAGTAATGATCATCACCGGTGTATGTGGCAGTGAGCAACTTGGTTCATTGTCTAATGCACTAGTCATGATCATGATCGGTCTAGGTGAAAATGGCTCCACTCATTCATTGCCATGTGAAGTTGTGATACATTTTAATGTAATGGACAATAAATCAAGGGCCGTGCGCCACTGGAGGGATGATGATCACAACTAGTATCCATGATTTTGGACGAAATGACCAAATTGTACCAAATTTTAAGTTCCATGCCCACTAGTGCTTTTAACCCCAAGTAACAACATAAGTAAGTAGATTATGAACAGATGCAAACTTTAAAGGTTAGTACCGACCACATCTTTTGATGATGGTGCATCCTCGGTAGATCTGTGCCTCAAGTGATCCCCGTGCATGCCTGTACTAGAACCATTCCTTCTAGTAAATGCCTGCACTGCACCTGAGAATCTGTCTTGAACTTCTTGCTTCACTAGATGTCAAAATACGCAACCATTTTATGGCTTGTCAACTATAATGCATTGAGTCACAACTATAAAACAGAAATATTATGGCACATGCTGCAGGCAGGTACCTTATAGCATGCTTGCTAATAACGATATAGGCGCACAGGTTCTTCAAATATTGACAAATATATTATAATAACAAAAGGGAAGGTGAAGAGGAGGCAGGAGGGAGGGGTGATTTTTAGAAAAAATAAAAATAAAAAATTCACATCATTAGAAGTGTTCATAATCACTTTCTACTTCCATCTAATCACAACTCCATAAATCCTTTTGCACCAACAAACTAATAGCAAATATCACAAACTAACGTATGGGAAATTTTATATAAAAATAATTCTTCCGTGGGGATACATGGATTTGGGGAAAATTGCTCCTGTAGTCTCACATCCCACCAGATGTGAAAGTGTGCTTGAAAACCCCATAGTGATCCATAACTGGCCATAAAATTAACCAAATTTACTAGAGACTTCTTCTCCATTCATGATTTATGAAGCTTACATCACCAGCAAATTCATCTTCCCAATTTTCCTCAAATTTCTCTTTCCCATTTAAATCTATGCTCGGATTGAAATGAAATCTCTCTCTCTCCCTCCCTCCATATATACATATTTCCTAATGATGTTTTGAGTTTGCTACAAATCAGGGGCAAAGAAGATATTGCTTTAGGAATGAATGAAGTTTTCATTGTTTTCTCAATCTGCCAAATGCCACCCAATATAACAATCTTCAGTATCATGGGTCCTTGATTTGCTTTTGGTGGTTTTCTTGTGGTGGTGGTGGAGGAATATTTCATTTCGATTGTGGTGAAATAGGAGCAGTCGTATGGCTGGTGCGTGGTGATTTCAACATCGGTTGTGGTTGTTTTGGCATTGGTGGTGTATGTGTACACATAGAGGGCGACGTGCGCGCACACACAGAGAATGATGAAGACCGCAGCGGAGGCCGTGGTTGCCACTGCCACTGTTTGGTTTAGCTGGTGGTCATCAAACTGGGATGGGGCGGTGGTTGTGGGGAAGTTTTTTTCATTTTTATCTTTTCCTTTCTTTTTATTTCATCCTTTATTTATTTTTTGTTAAAATTACTTATGTTTTGTCCACTTTGTTCTTACAATATTGGCACATCCGGCTTTCACATGTCAACTTAACAGAATTCTGGACTGTTACAGTCTGTCAGGATTACGATAGCACCTATTTTGCTACAATTCTTAGGATGAGGATGATTCTGCACCAAATGCAAAAGGTTGATGACCACAGTAGCAATTTTTCATGGATACAATTATGCGTCTATGCAGCAAAAAACTTCAAAACTTTGAATTACTGAACATGATATAGACATTCACATTGAATTTAGATTTGCAGGACAGAACACAATGAAGTACATGTGAGAGGAAGCAAACCTGGAGTCTTCTCGACTCTTTGTGCTGATGATCCAGGGTTTAAAGGTAATTTCCCCATTGTTTCCTGTTAAAGACAACATATATAATAAGATATGCATCTTATATTGAAATAGAGCAAGGTTAATCCACAAAAAAAAATCAAGAGAACACTCACTCGTGGTCTAGAACTGGAGCCGCCAATCTGCGGATACTTCAACATAGTCCAGTCAAACACATAGTCAAACTGATAACCTACAACAATTATCATAATTGTCAACAAGAAAGAGTAAAACGGAAGGATAACATAAATGATAATTGTAAAAAATCTAAATTTATTTACCTTCTCGAATAAAAAGGTCTCGGAAAAGCCTCTTCAAGTATGAATAGTCGGGCTTATCTTCAAATTGCAATGATCGGCAGTAATGGAAATATGATATGAACTCCGATGGATAAGATTTGCAGAGCAACTATCAATAAAAATGAAACAATGTTCTACGATCAACTATATTATATTCGTGAGTACGAATAAAAAGAACAGTAACACAGAAGAACTAGACATAGTGAAAATCATTTCGTGATGGAATCTAATACATAATAAGTGTTTGGCAGAAGAGGAATGTTTAAGTACGTCTATGGGTGTAAGCATTTTCTTCTCGCTAATTTTGTCATATTTTTGCTTCTTAGTGCCAGCTCTCAAGCCCTGCCATGGAAGACTAGAACACAAAATCAAATGCAATTAGTAAATCATGCAGCAGGGAGTAAAATGAAAATAGGAAAATCAGAAGTAAAGCTCTTATCCTCAACCTTCCCCTGAGAAAGTACATAAGGATGTATCCAAGAGATTCCAGATCATCCCTTCTGCTTTGCTCTGAAAGAAAAAAGTTTAGAAGCATTGCAAAGGTCAGAAACTATCCACATCTTAAACTTATACTCGTGTTTTTCTTCTCTATTTTTTTATTTTTTATTTTTTATTTTTTGTGACTCAGTAATCACGAAGGAAAGATGGCCATATTTAGTAAACGATTGCAATCTTAATGTTCACTCACCAACTCCGAGATGGGTGTTGACACTTGCATAACGAGCTGTTCCTGTGAGATTTTTATTTTCTCTGAAAATAATTAAGGGAAAGGTCAATGAACCATTAAAGATTAATACCAAGGTTGAAAAACTCCATGTTTGAGAATGGCAAACTTCTATATATCCAGGTGCATAGGATGCAACTGCAAAAGTTCAAACAAGTTAGGCTCCATTTTCTTATGATTCATACTGACCTAGGTCCCATTTGGTACCCATTTTTTTCAAAATGCATTTTCTTTTTCTTCTTTTCAACCACACATTCTTCATTAAAATAACATTACACGTAAATCAAAATTTTTTCCTTATTTTTCAACCACACATTTCCCATCAATTTACTATTTCAAAATGCATTTTTACATAAAAATGGCTTCCAAACACCCTCCTAAGAAGCAAGGATTCGGATACTACGGGATATGGATACACCGATACATCTTCCTTTTTTTTTAATTAGGATATGTGGATATGTATATATATACATGTATTAAAAGCTTTAATACATTTATCTATTTTCAATAAAAAAAATTATATTTGTCAATTATTAACACAATTTTACATGTATTAACAGTTTTAATACTATAATCTATTGTCAATTGAAAAACTACAGTTGTCAACTATTAACATTATTCTACATCTATTAAATTTGTTAATACTACTGTTTACTTCCAAATAAAACTTTAGCTGTCAATTATTTAATACTATGAACCTGTCCGGGCGCACTTTTCTTGTGAAATAATAGATTTTTGGAACGTTGTAGTGGGTCCCCATTTTTTTTTTTTTAGAGCATGTTTGTCTCCCATTATGAGAAAAATTATAGAGTTTTCAATAATATTTTTTGGAGAATGTATGGTTAAAATTTAAAGAAACTTTATTGGTTTGTGAGTAGAATATTTTATTGCGTGAATATGTGGTAGAGAATGTTATTGTAGCTCACAATTTAGAAAATGTTTGGTGGAGATTAAAATTAGATTTAAAGTAGATTTTGACAGAAATTTTTGAAATGTGTGGTTGAAAAGTTGCAGGACACATGAAAGATGTGGTTAATATTGATTGTTTGACTTTGACTTAAATTAAAATCAGATTTTAATCCAAACCAAACAAGAGCTTAATTTGTTAAAGGATGACAAATAGGAGGCTTAATGCAAATTCACTACACCAGCAAAGATGAATTCAAAATTGGTGGCTTTTCCAAAGAAATGTCTATTTCGCCCTCCACTTGTGGTCAAGTATTTGATTTGGAGATAATTTGAGAGGAGCATTTCGATTATTGAGGTTTGCTTGGAAGGGTACATTTGACGTCTTGGATGAAAAAAAAAATACAAAACCTACTTCCCCTACTATAACATTAACTTTGTAGGCTCCTATTTTATATTTGAAATGTCAAGAAGATTTCTATCAAAATAAGCGTATACTGTGTAGTTATTTATGATCTTAAAACACGTTTACTTATTTCAAATTATTAATTAATAAATATTATCTATTTTCAATAAATTATTGATAATAACAATAGTTATCTATTACATAAAAAGTTCTATAATCTATTGCTAATAATAATGAGTTTTAAAAGAATTTAAAACCAATAAAACTCTTCTTCTTCATGGGTTCTAACGTGTCCAATACGTATCGAAAATAAAAAAACATATAAAATAATTAAAAACATGTATCATGGACATATTAGAGCGTGTCCAAATGTATCCAACCTAGCCATACGCAGTGGCTGTAAGTTTATACGTATCTGCGCTTCTTAACCATTAACTCAAGAAAGAACGAATGGGTGATGATAGCGATACAGAACAGGTAGTCCTCAAATTTGAAATGCGAATACAATTCAAAATTTAACACTCTCATTTAAGCACTCAGCACAGGACAATGGTATGGTTGGAAAGTAAATAGAGTAGAAAAATAGTCGAAAGGGTGAGTAAAGTCCCATGAATTGTCAAGAAACATAGATTTTCAAATATGTACCTGTATGGTATGTGCTTATGAGTTTGAAGATCTCTGTATTTCTTTGCTAGTCCATAGTCAATGACGTAAACCTATTAAAAATGAAAATGATAAGGTTGAATTACAGCAGGTAGAAGGCATGAAGAATATTAAAAGCAAAATTTCAATAAGTAACAAATCTTAGTGCATTTTTGTGATCAGTCTACAAGATTAGCCAGATCTATAAAACTGTGCTTAAAGGGAGGTGAAGGGCACAATTAAACAACCCATTTACAATTAGAAACTAATAAAAATGAACAATTAATATTGCATTCAATTCAAAAAATAACGTTTTCCCAGGAAAATCTAAATCATAAAGAAAGGTATTGAAAGAAATTGCAAATTTACATCCAGTTCTGTCAATTATTCAGGTCATCTTTAAAGCCTGTTTCACCATCATTACTGTAGGAAAAAGGAGTTTTGAATAGTAATTTTTGGTAGAATGTGTGGATAAAAAGTGAGGAAAAGCTTTTGGTATGCATGCAGACTATTTTATTGTATGAATGTCTGCTTCAAAACCCATCATAGGAACCTATGTCTTGCTGCTTAAAAACCCATCATAGGGTCCTACTATATTACTCAATACTCATTTTCACAATGAACTGTGAAGTTCTGAACTAAAAATTCCTTTTACTAGATTTATCAATCACCTTTATAACAAAGAGACATTCTGCTAGCAATGACGTTAACACAACCAAATGATTAATCAATAAAAGATGAAATGAGAAACCTAATGGAAGTAAGAAATAATAAGAATAAACCTTTTTTATTATGAATAAAATAAAGACTCGATAAGGATGATCTACAAAGCCAGTTTCTGTACCTATGTTCCGATGCAAAGTACCGCAGACCAAAAAAAAAAGTACAAAGAATTCATTACGCACCAATTTCAAAAATTAATATGCATGAAATCCAAGCTTACCTCTAGTGGGGGAAAAAATCCATCTGTGCTCTATGCAAGAATATAAGATATACAGTCAAATAGCCTAATCCTCCATGAGAAAAAAGTACAAAAGGCAAAGATAAACAAATGTGAATTTTTTATATTTTCCTTTCATGAAGGTTAAATCACAAAAGACTCTTTCCGACATTATTACAATTAATCCTATACAAAAATGCTCAACATAATCTCTTGCTTTAGCCCCCGTTTGGTCCCCATTATTTGAAATTTGAATGGTTGGAATACTGTTTCTTTGAAGAATGTGTGATAAAAAAAGAAGAAAAAATTTTGGAAGCACGTCTAATATTTTTTTTATTAGAGAATGTATAGTTGATAAGAAGAGAAAGAAAAATGAATTATAATTTTAATGGGAGGCAAACAGGGGCTTAGCAATCAAGATTAGAAATGACTAACTGCAAATGAAACCTCAAATAATCTATCCTTCAGTTCAGTTCCAGATTCTCTACAAAAAAGCATAATTTTATATCACAGTTTGCAATTAATATCATTCATTTCCTTCTAACCCTCAGGATTTACCATCATTAGAGACCATACAATTTACAAATTCATGCATAAATATATAAAATAATCAACTTCAGAACTAATAGGAATAGTAGTAGTAGTAGATCACAGATACAATCTTTCTTAGGTACCACATTATGTATCAGTGGTTATTTCATTTACTCGGTGACATGAAACACTGCACTCTGTACTAGCATATATCATTTTTATCCTTTTTTTGCCATGTACGTTGTACAACAGACAATGCAACATTTAAATGATCAACGAATGACCATGTTCTGCAATAATTATGTTTCCAAGAGTCTTAACAGATGTGATGAAAAGCCTTTAAGAAGAATGAGATATGCTCAACAAACAAAAGCCCAAATGTGCAATCAAAACGAAACAATCAGTTATAAACATAGTATCAACTTGTAAACACATTTATGCATCTACCTGATTTGCTTTGCGGCCCAAACCCATTAAGAAATTATCGGGCTTTATGTCACGGTGAAGAAAACCTCTAGAGTGCATGTATTCAACTCTATTAATCTACATAGAACCAAAGGCAACAAGTAAGACAGCAGGCGCAACAGCAATGAAAACAATCTTCTTTGATGGTGGCATACTTACCAACTGATCAGCGAGCATTAGAACTGTTTTCAATGTGAACTTCCTATTGCAATAGTTAAACAGATCTTCTAAACTCGGCCCAAGAAGATCAATAACCATGGCATTATATTCACCTTCAACTCCAAACCATTTAAGGTGGGGGATCCCAGCTTCATAAAAAAAAAAAAAAAAAGCATAAACTTACTTTGCCTTCAGTACGCAACCAATAATGGAACAATCAATTTCAAAAGGTATAATACTCACTTCCTCCCTGAAGAAGCATATACAACTTTGATTCATAGCGAAGTTGAGGGTGCTTGGTTTTAACAGATTCCTGGAAAAAAAATGGACTATATTCTTCAAGAGAAAGAAATACAAAGAATTTAAAGAAAAATCACAAGAAAGTTAAGCTTGGAATGAATCAATGCACAAACAGATGTCTGAGAAGCAGTACTTGTACTAGAGAGTTTTGGTAACAGGTCTTGTTAATAGCCGAAACATGACAAATGAACTAGCTCACTAAATACAAATACTAAATTCTGATAGGTAAACAATAAAAATAAAGGTGTTGATTAACCACAAAATTGGAGTTGCTAAAGATAGATAGACCAGTAGAAGTTCATCATTCAATAATCATCGCCCTTTATGATTAAAGACTACTCTTTTTTTAGTTTCATAATAAATAGTGCAATCATCCAAAATGATGAATAGAAGACTCTTTATGCATAATTAAAAAAAAAAAAAAAAATCCATATAGAAACTTAAATTCACAGAATAAAAAATTGGAACATAATTTTTATACTGACCAACTTCACCGCAACTTCTTCCCCAGTTTGTATATTTACTCCTGAAATTAATTTAAAACGAAATTTTTTCAAACAACATCATAGGCAAAAGCTCTCAAAAAATTCAATTTATAGTTTATAAATGGAATTCTTAATTACCCAAATAAAGCTCTCCAAAAGATCCACTACCAATCTTTCTCCCAAGCTTAAACTTGGCTCCAATCACATGATCCATAATTAATTTCCCTAAAAATTTATATCTTTCTTTATTTTACAATACACACTCAGTACCAACATTACCAAACAGTTCTTCAAATCAACAGCCAAAATCTCGAATTTCGAGAACACCCTTCAGATCCATTGAAACCCATTGTAGAAAATTATACAAAATGACCAGAAAATAAATTACCATAAAAATCCCTAATGCCAAATATTAATATTTCAAAATGCAATTCGAAATTGTGCTTTTATTGATGATGTGATGGATTAAAAAAATAAGAAACGCATTAAATCCTAGAATTAAAAGAAGCTCAAGAAAACGAAAATTCTACATATTGGGATATAAAAAGTCAACATCAGGTAGTATATGGAGGAAAGACAGAAAACCCAGCTTTCGTTTTTGCATGGTGCGACAAAATTTATTGTAGAGCAGGATATGGGAATGGCAATGGATATGGAGGGTCGAATTAGAGAGAGAAAGTAAAAGTAAAAGAATCTAAAACGAAAAAAGTCGAAATTTAAGGGGAAATTCTTGATTTTGAGAGGGATCTTTGTAGGAAGAAATATGAGAGACAGAGTCGGAGACAGGGAGTAAAATGAAATGAATGTAGAATTTTGACCTGATGGGTTAATTTCAGTTTGGTCCTTGAAGTTTAGCTTCATTGCCGATAATTTGGCAATTGAAGTTTGCACAATTGATGCCCAATCTATTGATTTATTACCAAACTAGGCTTAAAATTGTATTCGCACAATTATCTCCAACATCAGAATTTAAAATTAATATATTTTCAATAGAGTCCCGTGACTAACTATCTAGGATTTGGAAGATTTGAAATATTATCGTGCATTTGACTAAATGTGTACACGATGTGGAATAAAGCTCAATTAAATTTTTTCTTTATTTTCGGATTTTAATCATGCATTGTGTGTTAATTAATAATAAATTTCATATTATCTATATAATTTTTACCTGATTAATGGATCCGTAATTTCGAATCAATACATAATAAAATGAAATAGAATAGTCAGTTAAGTTAACAATATGAAATCTAGAACATTATTACATATACACTTTAGTTACACTTTGTTGCATATCATTATCCTATTGAACAGTTTATATTTCAAACAGTTTTTTCATCTAATACTGTTATCCATGAATTTTGGAGTCGAGCTTGGAAAGTTATAGTAATCTTTAGGGCTAAATGTCCGGATACAAATAGCATTCTCCTAATCTTTAACAAATTATTATTAATAATAAAAAAAACACTTTAAAAAAATATAAATTGGACTATAAGAAAGGCAAACTCAACTTAGTGATGACAAAAAGCCTTTAAGTATAGCATTATATCCAAAGAGCAGTGTTCTAAAAGGCATAATGCGTGAAATTCAAGTTAAGGATTAGGGGAGTTTAGACAAAGCATAACCGTAAAAAAGCGTAGAAAGGTGTTTTTTTTTTAATTTTAATCAATCAAAAAAATCATTTAATAATTAAAAATAATATCTACCAAACATCTAAAATAGATTTATAGGAATTTTGTAAATTTGTTGGAAGTTTCCAACAAAATAAGTTTTAAATGTAAATACTAAATAGTAAATAAATATGAATTTTTAGGAGTTTTTTCCTTTTTCAAGGTTTCTAATGACTGAATCTAAGATAAACGAAGTGAAGAAATTAGCTACCTAAACGCGCATTTTATAACACTGTCAAAGAGCTTTACGTTCAATATTAATCAAAATATAATCTTTTCAAAAAAAAAAAAAATTAAGATCGGATACATTACAATTCCCTCATCAAATTTACACTAGAGCTCCTCTAAATGTACATATGCAAAAAAATTTCGGAAATCATCGAATATAGAATAACTAAATTGATCATTCCAATAAGATGATGTCTATAGACAATTTCAAGCTGACTTAGTTAATTGAATCGCCCATTTAATCTTGAGGCCAACATGTTAAATGATCGTATTCGATTATTTATTACAATTACTCTTGAATGTTGACATAAATCACATCATTCTACACCTTAAGAACCCCCAAGTTTATTTTCACCTCAATAGGACAGAAGCCTTTTGTTTCTTCAGTGCAGACAGAAAAGGTCGAGTAATTGAGTAACTACAAATTATAGTCACAAAATAAGATAGTGACTACACATAATACAGATATACAAAAATAAAACTAAGAAAAGATGGTGTGACCTTCAATCTTTTGTCCATTCTATCTATCATTCATTCTGATTATTTCTTTATGGGACACTTTACGGTTTCACAAATTGACTTGTGCTTGTCCATTTTAGTGAAATGGTCTACTCATATGGATTTAAATATGTTAGGTAACTCGCAGTATATTTCTAACTAACAAAGAATATTGATGCACATAGATTTTCATGTTCATAACGCCCCCCCCCCCCCCCTTTTTTTTTTTTTGGGTACAAGCCAAAGTAGCACAAATATTAATCACCAGGTGACCTGACATTGCAATTCGTACGTGGACCTTGTCCCGAACAATATTAAAGAAGAAAAAGTACTTGTCAATCTCATTGAGTATTGTGTAAGCCCCTTTTTAATGATCATTATAAAGAAAAATTGGGGAAAATGATATTTTAAATAATGATTTTTTTATTTTTATTTTTAGAATTTTTAGTTAAAATTAGGAAAAAATTTGGGTTTACATGCAAAATATTTAATTGTATGAATATATATTTGAAAATGAGTATAAAAATAGAGTTTTGAATTTGAGAGAGTCAAATAGGGACTAAGTAAACTTTATAAATTATAAAGCTACCTCTTCACATAGTATTTGTTTTAATTTAGAAAATAATGATGAAATTTTATGAAACTTTAAATCTTAATAACATGAAAATTTAATTATTTATTGCCAAAATTCTCTATATCAAATCATCAAGAAAATTAATAATGTAGAATATATCTTAATTCTTCGAGAATGATTCTTTATCACTAAATCTTAATTCTGGATCTTGAAATCCCTTCTTGATCGGTTTCTTGCTTTCAATCTTGATTGCCTTGTTTCATTCTTTAATTGTTAATTTGGGTTTTCTTCTTGATTCATAATCTTGATTCTTGAAGTCCTTCATCTTGATTCTTGATTGTAGATTGTATATTCTTAATTGTAGGTTTTGGATCTTCCACTTTGATGCAGGAGGATCCGGATTGAGTGATGCTAATTTGTCAGATGGCACGATGATGGCGCTGAGATACCATGAGATGGCGGATCGGCGTAAAGATGGAAAGTGAATCGCAATTATTTTCTTAATTGGGGAAATTTGACGCGTGTTTGGTAATTTGGCCATAACTTTGGCTACAGTTATCGGAATCATTATTATGACCCTAATCCGAAAAGCTCTCTTCGGCGCGCACGTTCGTGGCCACTAAGCTATGCTCGGTGGGTGTCAATTTAGAGCCCAAAATCCATTGTTTTCCTTTCCAAAATCCAATTTTAAGTTATTTTTTACTATTTATAGTAATATTTTGTTTCCCTTTTTCCATATGTTAGAAAACTCGAATTGAGCCAAATTTTTTGCAACTTACTTCTTTTAATTAATATTTTATTTTGGTATAATTTCTGGATTTTGCCATTTTTGGTAATTTTCCCATAATTTCGTATATCGCAATTATTTAACTCGGCTTGTGGGTTAATTTTGATCAATAGATATTATTAATAATATTGAGTTGAATTCATAGTATTTTCTCTGATTTTTGGGTATTTTCTGTCGTTTCTTTCTTGCGAATCATCTGCTACAACAAGCCAATAGGATAATCACTATTCTACTCGGCGTCACACTTCAATATGACTTCTCTCTAATTCTGCTGTTAATGGGATGACACAAAGAATGATAAATTGCAAATGAATAGGGACCATAACTTTATATAAAGTTTTCATATGTATGTCGTCCATCATGAAATATAATTTTAAAGCAATCTGGTCTCTATACATATAATTCAACACACACTTTATTTAGATGCTCTAAACTGAATTACTTAATTAAATCACTTTAATTTTGGACTTAACTTTAAAATAGTCTTTATTCACAATTAATTATATATGTTGGTCCACATGATAAATTCCCAACAAATAATACGGCTTTTTCGACTTTAAACAAGCTGCCCGGCTGCCCCATGTCCTTCCTAAATGAGGTTTTTTCCTTAACTCGTGAGAACCTGTTCCTATAAGCCTTGAGCCAGTTGTATTGTGGCCAAATTCTAGTGTGACCATCATCACGTTATTGTTGAGAATTTAGGATACATAACATGTGAATTCAAATATTTGAATGACATAGCACCATGTGCATGAAAGTACAAGACTACAAGTACCATCCCAAGGTTGAATACAAATAACATAGCATACTTGAATAACAAGTTGAAATTCTGCACGCCAACAAACGATTTTCATTTCAAAAAATTTGAAGGAAGTTTCTTGTATGTACATGTTTGACCATGCACAAAAGCGACTTTTTAGTTACTTTACATACTATAAAGAAAATCAGCTAGAAAAGTTATATACCAAGATTGATAACTAGTAGTCGATTAAGCTCAGAATAGGAAAATGGAAGCAAACTGCAAAACCTTGCTCGAACGAGCATAAAATTGTCACTAAAAATGTTATTTTCAATAAATTGTACCACATTAAAGATCAATGGCAAAGAACTACATGCATCCCTATTCTTCCAAGTTGAAAAATACATAAACGTTCCTAATTTCCTACGTTAGAGGGAGAGTTTTTTTATGAAATTTATAAATAGTTTATATGGTAGACTGAACAATTTTTATCAAACAATAATTTATGATCAGAGCACCCGTTTGATAAGCGGGAGGTCTTGAATTTGACTCTCAACAAGAGCATAGAGTTCTTTTAGTTGTTGAATTAGTTTCTTCATATTTTTTTTCTTCCAATCAACTTGCGGGCATTGTCGAAATGGCAAAATAAAATAGAAAAAAATATAACAAATTTCCTCTTACTATAGATTCTCATATTAAGCTCCTATTTGAATCACATTCTTTAAAAAATATATATATATTCTTAAATAGTGATTGACATTATTTCAACCACACATTTTTCAATAAAATAATATTACACATAAATTCAAAAAAAAAATCTCATTTTCTAACCACACATTCCCATCAATCTACTATTTCAAAATACATTCTTTCAAAATATTGTGGCTCAAAAACACGCTAAACCTATATTTGGCTCATGTTAATAAACATTAAGGAGGCGTTCGATTGGGAGCATGGAATTTGTTTGGAAAGCAAATAAATTATAAACAATTCAATTGTCTAGAATTTATTATTATTAGTTTTTAACATAGAAAATAATATACATGTCCAGTTTTAATTGGTAGGTATATGAGAGAGAAAGAATGGATGAGAGAGAACGATAGAGTGGATTCCCTAAAAAAATAAAATCATAATCCTCCTAAAGAAATTATTTTCCTTGATTTTGAGGAAAATATGGTCACGTGACCAAAAGTAGGAAAATGTTTTCCATTGAAAAAAATAATTAAACAGCACAAAAATAAGAATTTGGGTGAAAAAAACATTTTCTTTA